GCCAGCAACCTCCAGCAAAAAAAAAAAAAAATCTTTGTACTTAAATATGAACAAAATCAATGAGAAAAACCACAAAAGATGAGAAAATGTGGGTGAAAGGTATAAACTGAAAGACATTTGGCATACAGAGTGCAATCGGACAGAGACCTGCAGAATACAAAAGCAAAAAAGGGGAGGGGACTTGTGCAGTTTTTTTGGGATTAAGATGCCCAGGCAAAGAGAAGTAATATTTTGAACAAAAAGTAGAACTTGTGTAAGAGACAGCAAGACAAGGGCATAGAAGTGAATGACTGGGCCATACGACTGAAAACTTTGAAGCAGGTTTTATCAAATGGAAAACAAATACGCAGAAAAAGGATTTAAATAGGAAAAGCTTAAGAAGAAAATCACAAAAAAGAGGGATGGAGATTAAAAAGACATGTAAATTTCATAAAAGATAATCAAACAAATCTCTTACCTGGTGTGGTTGTTGGCACAGTGGGAACTGGAGTGGAGGTGATTTTCACTGTAGGAGTAAGGGGTCTGCTAGGGGCAGTGGAGGTGGATGCCGTGACCCTGGGTGTCCTCGGTGTGCTTGGTTTTGGCCCAGCTGTTGTGGTGATGACAACCACAGGGGTCACAGGTGTGGTGGAGACGGAGGTTGTTGAAGGTCCGCTGGAGTGAGGAGGAGAGAACACAGGAGACATGGTGTGAGGAGCAATGCTTGATAATGTGCTGGATTCTGATGGCAGTGTCCCAGGGCTGCTGCTGACAGAGGTAGAGATGTCAGGTGTGCTGACTGCAGCAGGAACTGAAGTGGAGGTAGTGGAGCCACCGCTGGTACTAGCAGGAGTGCTGGGTGCAGTAGGCATGGAGACGGATGTAGCAGTGTTAGCTATAGTGGCTGAAGTGGCTGTGACTTCTGTATCAGTTGAAAAAGATGTGGTGGCCACATTGCTACTGGAGGATGGGGTGGTGACTTTGCTGGAAGATGTCGCAGGAGGAGACCCAGGAATAGTTGTGGCAGTGGTGATAACAGGAGACAAAGTATGAGGTGAGCTGGTTACAAAACTTGTTGTCCCACGGGTGATTCGTTCTGTGGAAGGTGATACAGACAAGGTGGTGGTGTCAACAGAAGTAAGAGAAGAACCAATATCAGTAAAAGAAGTCACAGGCAAGGTGGAATACACGGGAGATGGTGGAGAAGTGCTGGTCTTAAAGGAGGTGATCTCAGGTAGATTAGGGTTAGCAGAGATGGTGAAAGATGTGTCTGTGCCGACTGGACTTGTTGGTGCTGGATGGGACTCAGTGGGACTGCTGCCAGGTATTGTGCTGCCAAGAATAGTAGTTGATGGAGTGCTGTACTCAAATGGGGTAGATGATAGTGTGCTCAGCTCTCCAGCAGGTGTAGGAGAGGGGCTGGCTTCAGTAGAAGGGG